TCTCTCCTCTCTCCTCTCTCCTCTCTCCTCTCTCCTCTCTCCTCTCTCCTCTCTCCTCTCCCCTCTCTCCCTCTCTCCATCTCTCTCTTCCTCTCTCATCTCTTCCTCTCTCCATCTCTACCTCTTTCCCTCTCTCCCTCTCTCCCACCCCTTCCTCTTCCTTTCTCCCCCCCCTTCTTCCTCTTCATTACTTTCTCTCTTTCTCTCCCATCCTTATATATTTTTGTAAGTCTAAGTCCTTTAAGCTCCTTAGCTTAGTGCAGACAAATACTAACCAAGAAGTAGGATATAATAAGCTAACTTACAGTAATTGGTATTGTACCATGATTATAGCAGATAAGTTAAGGTAATACTACTGAAAGACTAACTATAGGCTTAAAGCCAGGGAGGGAGGGAGGGGTTAAAAATAAATATTTAGGAGAAAGATCCAAATGGACAACTTTAAGAGGGCATCTGAGGGAAAAACTGATGGATCATGAATGCTTATATTCAAAGTTTAGGTATCTCCTCCCCTAAGAGGGCTTAAGGATTGATAACCATAAGCGGGTCCGTGTGACCATATGAGCTCATGATCTGAGAGATCTACCATACCGGCAGCTTCAAATGATATTAAGATCCCTCTCTCCGATTCAATGATATTCATGAATCTGGAGATATCTGATGAAGTTTGCCCTGAAAAATAAAAATTAGTCACTGCCTTTATCCTGTATTACTAATTGGTAAGTACAAAATCCTAGTAGTTTGGCTAGAAAAATCTCCAAAGGAGAGACCCTAATGTTGTCAAACTGGCTTAATTATTTAAGTTCAGTTTGTAATAAAGGGTTACATTCATATGATATAGTTATAGGATAGTTAGGAAGTAGTATTAGGAAAGTAGTAGTGAGAACTAAGCTGTTAGCAAATACAGAGCATATCTAAATACTTGTCAGATTACTATGAGTTTGCTATATACTTTTATTTCCTGTTCCTTCACAGTATCTTTTTATCCAGTTATTAACAACTGCAGATCTGCAGAACATTATTCAATGCCAAAAGACATACATTTACTCCTATTTCCTAATGGTGACTAGAAGCGATATGTCCAATCAAGACCTACCTTCTAAATCCTTCAATTCTCAAGTGCACAACCTCTATGTAGAACCACCAAGTTATGACATGAAAGTAGCCCATTCTGCACCAAATACCTTGTAACAAACCATGGATATCAGTACAAAGCATCCTAATCCCCCACTATCAAGTCCCCCCTCTACAGGATTGTCCCAGTACTATTTGCCCCCTATTAATGAATCTTAGAGCATCTTTGCAGGACTGGGAAGTAAAAATATTGAAATCTCTTAGCAGTCTGCAACTAGGTATTTATGGTTCTGAAAAGGGCTCATCATATTTCCCTATGGATGTAAGACTTCAGCTATCCCCATTAACCTTGCAAGGCCATGTATACCCTGCAATTGTCCAGAAACTTAAGTCACTCTACCAAAAGCCGCACCAAAATAAGACTGACCAAATAAGTTGTAGAAACACAGGTCAGCTTCTCCTTGTTGATTGATGGTTCAGAGAACTCAAGTGTGTTGTTTCCGCTCACTAGAATAAAGTCAGCAAGAGGACATGGGGATCTTTCATACTCCCCTCTTTGCATCTCAAAACAAATCAAAAAAGAAGATGGTACCTGGCACTCTAATCCACGGCTAGTTTTGGAATTCAGCTCCCCACGGAATAAAAAAAAAAAAGGGGGGGGGAGCAGTGCAATAGCTGGTACCCGGACCTTATACAATCTTGTTTGCCAAAATCTGCCCAGTAACGCCGGTGGACCCTAGGCGAAGAATAATTCAATTCAATCGCCTCTTGCCAGCGAAAATCTGTTTTGTGGCCCGATATTGTTATCCTCCGCATTCCACGAATCGCAAAAACCACAGATATGATTCCTTTTTCCCAAGAGCGAAGCTGAGAATACCCGCCCGGGTGCTCTGGCGGGCATGTATATCTATCAATCTGGAGCCGTTAGTTACCCATCAACACAGATGAAGGAAAATCCACCCGCAAGAGCATCTTCCCTACAAGCCCAACCGTAGGGAAAATAAGATACTGTAGCCCTCCCAAAAGCTCAGAACTCGGCTATCAGTAGCTATTCGAAAGCATCCACTTGGAGCGTTTTAGGGAGAAGCGATGGCGACGACACCGTTGATCACAATACGGTAAAGTGCTGTACAGTGCTGAGAAGCACACACAACATCCTCACCAACAAAATCAACCCGCACTACCTAACCACCACAACCACCACGAAACCACAAACCACCTTCAATCAAGTAAACCAACACCTCCAACAAGTCTCCACTACCCCCACGCCATCCACTGTCGTGAAGTTAACCTCATTTCTTTTGTTTTTCGTTTTTCCTCCCTCCCTTCACCCCTCCAAGGGGACAGATCGACGACGCCAATATGGGAGTGCGGCGCTATAGCCCTGTACCACATCCCTCCGTCGGCCCTCAACCGTACTCCGGAATCATTACGCAACGAGTGAGTATCTATGACTCCTCCCACTGCTAAAAAAGTCCTCATGCTTTTTTTTTTTTTTAGAAAAGAAAAAAAAAAGAACAAAAACAAGTAACGTCCGGGTACGGTAGAAACTTTCCGGAGACTTTATGATACACGCTTCGGCAGCGGTCCTACCCTTAACGGAATAATAACCTTTAATTTAATGTTTTCTTTTTTTCTTTCTTTTTCTTCTTTTCTTTTCCCCAACTTTCGTGTTATGTACCTGGTAATAGTAATATAAAGTATATAGGTACGCCAGGATGATGCCTACAGTACTCGGTATCAGAAGGGGTGGGGGGTCCAGCCGAGGCGACAGGACTGCAGCTGGAGGAGGAGAAAAAAAATTTGTATCATTGAGCTGGCGCTTCTGCAGGTAGCGTTGGTACTCGAGTAAATGGGTGGGGTGTATGCACGCTACTCGAGTAAGTCGGTGATAAACCGGCACCACGGACACAGTACACAGACAGGTGCCGAAACAGAGGGTGGTGGTGCGGGGGAGGTGGAGGAGGTCTCACACCACAGAGCGTCGAGAACTATCCGGAAGGGCGTGGTCCCCAAGTGAGAAGCCGAGGACAGTTTGTCAGGGAGGGGAAGGATTCATCCGGTACCGGGTTACGCATTGCTCTTGGTGCGCTATGCCATGTCGCGGCCTTCGATCAGTGGATCGCAGGAAAGGCAGATGTGATATCTTACACGGCACGGCTCTATCTTGGGCGTGATGCAAGTTAAGGTTAAGTTTATTGGCAGATATCTTAGAGAAATCTACTCTTCCCCGTCACGAGAACTTTTTCCATTCCTCCCTCCTCCTCACTGCCGTCCCTTGTCAGTGCTCCCGCTTTGTTTCGGCTTCTTGCTTTTCTTCTCTTTTCTTTTCCCCTTCCTTACTCATACGACCCGAGCCGATGGAAGGAAGGGAAAGGTGAGAAATGACTGGAAAAAAAACCATCCAGTACACTTACTGTATAGCAGCGGGATCTAATTCCCCCCTCCCAACCCTCTCCACTAACACACAGTTTCTCAGGAAGATGCCCACTCCAACGCAGACACGGACACTCAATGACCACGCTGGCACGTTACATACCATACCACTCCGGTTCCAATAAGAAAGTTCAGACCAGGGTGGCAAAATGCCAAACTACGCTCTTCCTCCTCCTCCTCCTCCTCCTCCTCCTCTTCCTGCAAGAGGGTACTAAACCCCGAGGCATTTATCGAGCAATCCACGAGGGGGATATTGAAGGGAGGGGTGAGAATTTGTACAGTACTGGTATGTGTTTGCATGTAAGTGTGTGCATGCACACACAAGCTCCGAGGGCCTCCCCGCGCGTTCCGACTCCCCATTTAGAAGGAACGACAGAAAACGTGCACAGGCCCATGCAAGTAACAGCTCCCCGGCTGAGAACTACCGCATACAGGTGTATCCCACGAAACCCGACAACCAGAAGCATAATCTACCTACCCGCTTTATTCCCTTCAGTTGATCATGCAAAAAGCAAATAAACATATATCAAGAGAGGGGAAACAGCAAGGGATCATGTGTGTAGGTAAGTAAGAGGCAAGCAGGTAAGCAACAAGATAAATGACACAGCTGGATATGAACGGGTTGGTTGGTAAAAAAATGCACAAAAATAGAGAGAGATGTGGTTACGAGCAAGAAAAACCAACCACACAAAATACCATATGTCCAATTACCAAGGCAAACTGCACATTTCTTGGTTATCAAACTTTTCCCCCAGTACAGCGACCCGCAGCTCGGTTGAATTAGGTGCTTATGAGCATCAAATTAGCTTCCGTAGAGACCTAGACCAACCCTCCCCCTCCCCCCCCCTTTCGTACAGGAGCAGAGGCCAGAAGTAAGCGTGGCAGGAACATGCACAGCTAGGCTCCACCTATGCTTCCGTGGAGGAATGATATGATGAGTCCGGCAGTCCCGGGTATGTGCCGTGCCTTCACGATAGGGCACTGTACAGTACCGGTAGGAATACTAGCATTATAATATTATTGTATGGATACGAGTAACGGTATAGGTAAAGTTCGCCAGGCAGTGAGCAAAAAAGGAAACGGGGGAGAGCACAGCCTAGTATAAAGCACCCAACCTCTCAACCCACACGTTTGGCCAACCCACCGCAGGTGCGGGGAAGGGGTGTGAGGTCCCACGGCCCAAGCCATGTCAGTTGTTTCCAATGATATACCGTAGAAGAGGACCAAAAGCCATTTCCCGATAAACGCCCCCTTCCCCTCCAGAAAAGAAGAAAAGAAGAAGAAAAAAGTGAAAACCTCGCATGACTGTGGCCATAGTATGATAAAGTAGTGCACATAACTAATAGTGAAACACCTCCACAATCCAGTCAGTAGACGTGGCGCTACCTTAGCTAAACTCAGACACCTCCTCAATGGTTCACCAAAGCAAATACGGCAGCTTGCAGTACTCTAGTCTCGACCACTACCGTACCACCCCCTCCCAGATGATTGAGAAAAGAAAAGAAAAAATGGAAAAAAAGAGATTTGCGGGGGATGGAGGAAAAAAGGTCTCATACAGCAAACGCTATACTCGATACACACCATGGTCCGCAGATTACAACACCAACAACAATCCTAAACAAGGTAATTGAGACAAGCTGAAAAAACACACGATACCTGGTACAGTATACGGAGACCAAACCAGGACACGGCCCGATCATCCAATGAAGCTATTAGCTGATGTTATGTCAGTCCACGCCACGCGCAGTGAAGTTTCAAACCTCGACAAGACCACTGTCTCAATGCTTTTTCTCTTCTTGCTTCCTCTTTTACCCCATCAATCATCAACGTTATCGCCAGTCATGTCACTCAAGAGGAATAACCTCCGCTCCATTCAATACAGTAACCGCCTAGCAGGTGAAAGCTGGAGCTGGAGCTGGAGCTGGAGGAGACGCAGAAGCAGAAGTGTACCCGCGGTCTCCAGAAATGCCCCCCCCCCCCCCCCCACCTCCTCCGAACCATTTCACAACCATCGCCATCGCCATCGACATCATCACCAGCATCACCATATTCCCCATTCTCCTCCTCCTCCGATGCAAGGAGCGGAAGGGTAGGGAATGGAAGAGAGAAGAAAAGCAAAACCCCCCTCCTCCGATACCAATGCATCTGAGCCCACTCACTCGCCCAAGCCTACGATACCAGTTCCAAGCTCCCTCCACCTCAATTCGCAAGGTAGCTCGCACCCCCCCGATCCTGATCCCGAAACGAAATTTCTGAATCCCCAACCCGACATATCCATCCACCCATCAAACCACTTTCACTGCCGTATCTGGCTGGGCCACCAACGCTAGCACGGGTTCTCGGGTGATATGCCATGATCCTGGCCCAGGTGGGCACTCCCGCAGACCACGGCAAACCCCCCATTTATTATACGTGTTCCATAACTTACTCCCTCCCAAGAAACTCAGAACCCCCAAGCGAATATTCCGATGGGGCAATGCCCGGGACGACGAGCGAAACTCCACAGCAATCGGCGAGGAAATGGGGTGGGACAAATAAGACAGTGATACTAATCTCCCCCTCCCTCCCTCTTCCCAAGGCGGCGGTAGAGGGGGAGGAAGGGAGGGTGACGTATAGCAAGTATTTCCCATAACAACCTTCCCAATGTGTTAGGACAGTGCAAAGCTGGTGAAGAAAAAAAAGAAAGAAAAAGTCGACGAACTATCATACCATTCAAATATCATAACTGCCATCTCCAATGCCTCCTCGCCCGAAATTAGCATCGATCTCGGTTGTTCGAGAATTCGATGATGGCGGATACGATGCAATCGTCAAGGTATCATATTTATCATATCGTTGGGGAAAGAGAGAATCTAACGCCGATGGGTGCGTGGGTCGGTGTGGTGTGATGCGGTGATGGGGGCGGTCTATCGCCGACCGAGGGAGGTCGGAACGGCCGCGTACAATACTAGACTATTCACGGATTATCACCCAGTCTAAGCGGGCGTTTGTTCCACTGTAGTCCAGAACGTACAATAAGTACCATAGTGCATTAAATTTAAATTTATTACCTAGTCGAGTAGACCGATGCAGTTTCAACGAAAGTTGGGCTTCCAGAAACGCCAACACCACGCGTCGAAAGTGATAACCATTACCGTATGCTACTGACCTGTTCGATACACTAACCGGGAAACTGGTAACTTAGAAATAATCCGGCAGACACAGAGAAAGAATAAATTCCATGTGATCCTAAGAAATTTCTTGAAGAAAAAACCAAGCTCAATCATACTCCATCAGTTGTCACTTTTCATTTCTTGAGATTTCAAATAGCTACAATTAAATGCGGCCCAATTACAACCCCCCCCCTCGCTCCCCAATTCACAAAGTTACAGAGAGGGATATTGGAAGGGAAAAAGTGACTAAGAGAAAGAGAAAAAAGAAAAAAAGAAGTGGCATAAGAGAAGAGAAATCAGCTATAAAGAAAAGAGAAAAAAGAAATACCTCTATATTAAAGCCTTCCCTATTTTAAAACTTTGACATAAGAGATAGAAAAATACGAAATACCCACAACCACCATCTCCTAATCAGTTCGTCGCCTCATAATCAACCCGTCAATCTTTCGATAAACAAAAAAATCGGGAGGGGGAAATAAACTATACAAAGAGGCTGTGCGTTACGATATGCATAAATGCTAGAGATAGCAACCTTCAAAGCTCGCCCGTGGAACAGCGAGACAAAGAAGGGGAGGCTGAGAATAAAAACTTATTTTAAAGGCAAAGGAAAATCAAACAAAGATTCATAAAAGGCCTTACGGCACTATATGAAACATGACAGATCGTCAGTATGTAGAGACGGATAGCAGGGGACAGCGGACAAATTCCAGCAAGCAAGGGAGCAGCAAGGAAAAAGAGGACCACGATAACCAATGATGTTGATGACCCAAGAACTCCTGAAAAGACCCTAGAATACCTGGAGAGATCGAAAGAAGAGAAGAAAAGGTGACCACCAGAACTAAAGAAGCCCCAGCGGCCCAAAGTAGTCGGAACGAAAGAAATATTTATTAAGCACCAAAGCAATCCCAAAATGAAAGATGGTCCGGATGTCCATTCCACAGGAAGAATAGCCCGGGCTATGGTGCAACTCCGTTGCTGTTGTATCTCCGGCTCAGGCTTCGCTCGACACCCGAATGACCATTCCTCTCGTCCTCAAGAATATCGCCGGCGACCTCGATATATTTTTGCGTCTGGATAAATTTGGGAACAGAATCCTATTGTAACGAAAGCGAGTCAGCCACCGCTTTCAAGCGTGGGATCACAAGAATGCTTACTCCTGCCATGAGCTTGAAGACTTGTTGTTGCGCTCGGTCAAAAAGAGCAGCCACCTCCATCAAACTGGAGTACATTGCATTGTCATCCTTTGCAACAGCTCGGGTCATTCGGGAAGCCATGTCCTGTCGAAGTGTGTGATCTATATTCAATTCGCACGGGGACCCTGGAGCAAGGAATGCGTTGTAAAGGCCTAAACAAAAACAAAGTACTTCGGTCAGTGCCCAGATTTCGTAGATGAGGCCATGGGGGAAATGGAGTTATTGTGCAGTCACCGTCCGTAAACCGGCACAGGAAGAGCACCATCACCAGAAATCAAGTGTGCGATAACACCCATCTTCTGGAAACACCAAAGAGCAAAATTAACCAAGAAAAACCGTTTGACTTACCATAGGCAGCAGCTAAGGTTTCCCTCACGGCATCAGGTTTCGACTTATCAATTGCACGGAAATTATGATTGAAATCCTCAACATCCAACCAGAACGACAAATTTTCCTCGCATACAGTTTCCCGAAGATATTCGCGGTACAATAACCTCAAAGCAGCGTCGTTCAGGATAGCGGTCAGCCGGGTAGTGTTGGTCTCACGTTGATCTGTATCACCCAGTCAGCCCAATTTATCCCTCTCCAGTGCATGCCGACGCTCTTCGTGGAGCGGACACTTACTCCTAGGAAACCCGTCCTCCCGGCTCCTGCCTTTGGATGTGCCCCGTATAGAGTTCCCATCATTCCCCCTCTCCCCGTTCTGCAGACTCAGCCGGTCGCCATCAATCCATCCCGACACTCTCTTCCCTTTGTCGGTGAAAACGTAAACGGCAGTTTTGGTCGGTTGAAAACCCTTTGCTTTTGGGTTAGATTGAACGTAGGCCTTATCCTCAAAGACAGACTGGATCAATCCGTATTGTATGAACAGGTTGATAATCTCATGAGTCTCATTCCTCTCCACCGTCGTACAACAATCAAGCAGCCAATCCACAGCACATTTTCCAGTGAACGAACTCTTAACAACCTTGTCCCCAATTTTGCGAGCCTCGGCAAGCCTGACACCCGTCACGCCGTCATGATACTCCGACACAGAATCCGAATCGGAGATGGAAGCACTGGCCTTGATGTTAGGGGTCGCCCCGGCAAACCGCCGAAAGATAACTTCGGTCGTGGTCTTGTCCTGAGACAGCCTATCCGTCACTGAATCCCTCTCCAAAATAACCAGACGCATGGTGTTGTAAGAAGACTGCAATAACTTTATCACATGGTCCTGCTGAATGCCATTACGCTGACAAAATCTCTCCAAAACATGAATCCCTTTGGGTGTCAATTGCCATAAAGTACCCTTCGGAGGGAAAAATGTGGTAGATTTTCCGTCAGCCAGCTCAATAAATCGAGCATCCATGAAACGCTGACAAACAGAGCGAGCCATTTCCCTAGCCATCGAAAAAGTGGTTGTAGTTGTGGTGGTGACAATGCGAGTGTGGTCCTTCGGATCGGGCATCCGGTTCGATTGGGAAAACTTCAACGAACCGAGATTGTTGATGGCCTCCTCAGAGGTAAAGGTGAAGGGATAGGTCTTGAAACGTATCCTGTGAGAACATAATGGCAAACTAACCATCAAAGTGGAGAAAAGATCCTTGAAATCCTACAGTAGCAAGAAAAGGGGAAAAACATCAGTGTCAGCCAGTCGAATGGTTAGGACGACAGCAACCGCCCGGCCGGACCAGAGCGGAAGGGAGAGCGAGAGAGCGAGCGGAATCAAACAAAGGTGATGGGTAAAGCGATGGGGACAAGAGCTTACCCGAGTGTACGGACGGTCATCCGCCGTCATACGCAGTAATCGCGAGCTCGTTTGATGCATTTTGTTCTTAGGATTGGAGATTTGGTTATAGGTAGGCCCGTCACCGCGTGGGATCACCTTGGTAAGCTTGGCTAGTGTGGGCAGATTTTGTTCGTTCGAGTCGAGCAACGACTCGGTAGAAGTGGACCTCGGCCTTCTCTGGGTCGTATTGTAGTTACCACCCAAAAGGCTAGAAAGCGAGAAGACGGAGGACCGAGGGAAGTGAGAATGGACGGAGCGTCGTAATGGTATTATTACGGAAGGAGTCGCTGCTGCTGCGGTGGTTGCTGCAGCAAGCGATGGCAGTGGTGATGGGTGTTGCGAAGGTGAATAGAGGTATTGGCGGTGCGGCTGGGTTTTGTCGGGGCGGGGGGGGAGAGGGAGTTGTAGTGGTTGCGTTTATGGTGGAGTTTGTGGTTCGGGTTAGGGGTTTGTTCTGGGCCTACCGGTGTGTGGTGGATATTATTGGGGTCCCGGGGGAGGGTGTGGTTGTGATTGTGGTTCTAGTGGTGGTGATGGCTTTTGGTGGGCGGGCGAGCTTCAGGAATCAACGGTTGATGCAACGAGGAAGCCTTAGAAGTGAAGGAGAGGGTTTCTATCGAGACGGAGGGATGCAAGTGAAGATAAACGATCAGTACCACGTGGCGATGGCGACGACTTGCGGGGGGGGGTGCAGGAGTAGAAGTAGTGGCAGCAAAGGGAGAGGCGGGAAGTCCCTGGACCTGCGCAGAGGGAGGGAGAGGGATAGCTGCTTGTGGAATTTGGTGCGGTTGTCCTCGGGGCGGGCATGAGTGTGGATGCGGTTGTTGGGTCATTGTTGCTACTCGAGCACTCCTTACCACCACCACCGCTGTCGGCAGTACCGTACTCACGCCCTATTTGTGGGCTCGTAATTAGAATTGTTGCTGATACGGTAGACTATCGCTTACGGCACGAGCACTGGTAGTGCTCGCCCTTCCTCTTCCCCTTCTACCCGTCAGTGCCGCTTCGAACGAGGGTGAAGAGATGTCCACAATGTCAGTCGCGCTGCTGCTTCCCCTCCTCCGCCTCTCCCCGCCGCTCTAGCTATTCCACCCCTTGCTATGCCTATTCCCGCTGCTGTTTCTGGCCCCACCTCTCCTGTTCTGCTGCTGCCACCGGTAGACTGCCATCGCTGCTAATCCTGCTGCTACGAGCAATGGTGGAGGGGTTGGTGGGTCCTGCTTCTGCTTCTGCTCCTACTAGTGCACCACCACACTTACGCCCCGGTCGTAGCCCTGGTCCTAGTCGCTGCCCTCTTTGTCCCGGGATGTGCGTCGTGACAACAGGGGTGGCGAGCTCCGTCGAGAACAACACGCTACTAACGCTGCCACTGACGCCTCCCGTCGGCCCTGAGGTGAGCTTCTCTTGCCTCGTCTTTTGTCCTGTCTAAAAAAGGGCTTGACTGGCTTTAGGAAATGCAAATAAAAAAATTTCTAGACGATCTTCATGCCCTTTTTACCTGGTCTACTTGTAACTGATCCCGGTACTCGTAGAAAATCGAGAAACGAAAAGAAGAAAAAAAGGAAAAAAAGAAAAGAAAAAGAAAAAGAGAGACAAATTCAACATATTACCTACTGTAACTTAAGCCGCATAGCCTTTATCCCTATTGTTTGCTCGTGCGCCAATGCCGGAATGAGCCTACTCTTCCAAGCCTAGCGGTTGTTTTCCTCACTTTGCTACTCCCATGGTCTCCGGAATCGCTGCCGAGCTGAGAATGGAGAAGGTTGCGCTGGTGACCTAACGTGACCAACTAATTATTCACGCCCCCCGCAAACACCGCTGAAATCTGGCCCTCCCTCCGGGCCCAGCGGCGGGGTTTCTACTTTATCTCGAAAGGGGGAAGAGCTGGCTCTGGAATTGGCCCTCTCCGGTCCGGTATTCCGCAGCAAGCCCGCTTCTCGACAGATCCGAGCCGCAAACGGTAGCAGCAAATTCCCCCGTTCGGCACAATTTCGTGCTGGGAAAAAACAAACTCTACTCTATTTCTCTTTGCCCGAGAATCAACAATACGGGAAGGGGGGTTGGGGGGTGAGTGAGAGGATGGGGGTGTGAGTGAGGGTGTCGTAGAAACAACAACAAATCTTTCCTCAAGATTGGTAAATGGGTTGAAGATGTTGGGATTGACGATCAGTGAAGTTGGGGAGCACATCCCTAGACCATCACCGTACCCCTCACCTTCCTACGCGGACTACGGGACATCCATGAAGGAGTTGGGCAAAAAGACTTCCCTAGCAGATGGATTCTCTCGTTCTTGCTTGGCCCCCGTTTCGTGAGCCGGCCTACCTTACAGGGAACATGTGTGGTGCTTCGGGAGAATGCCAGACAGGAAGCACTTCCCAGTTCCAGTCAACGTCCTGCCGTGGCCTACAAGTACCGAGCACCGACCCCTCCGTCCGTAGACTACTCCGTCATTTCTCTCGTCTACAGACACGATAGTCGGACGAACAAATTGCAAGAAAAGGAAATAAAACAACATCCGAAAAAAAAACCCCCCCTACGAGTACAAATAGACACAAAGAGTACCGTATGTTAAGAGAGAGAGAGAAAAAAAAGGAAAGAAACAACCCGTCAGCAAACCAAGCTGAAAAAGAAGCAAAGGGGGCAGAAGAAGCAAAATGTAGAGGAGCGGAAAAAAACAAAAAAGTGGATGGGTTCAGGAAGTATACGGTACAGTACGGTGGGAGAATTCAAGCCAAAGGAAACTCTCAACGGTTTTCCCATTTTGCAACGAAATCATTTCATGCGATTCTCAGGCACAGCCTGATCCCTTATTTAATCTATCACGCGTACTGGACATACTGTAACTGGATGCCATATTTACTCTTGTCTCTTTCATCACCTTCTCAAACAGCTTTTCTCACCCCTGGAGCTTGTTTAGAAAACAGCAGCCTAGTTATCCAGCCCGAAGCTGCCTACCGTTGCCGAATATTCCTAAGCGACCACCCGCCCGGAAGAAACACGGTACGGTACCTATACCAAGTGTGCCGGCACCGTACGAGTACTCGAGTACAAGTACTGCACTTGAGTACCTCTCAGGAAACTTCAACCCCTAACCAAGGAAGCAGGCAAGCAGTCTGTGCATGCGCGGGCGGAGAGCAGGGAAACGGGAAGGTTGGGTCGGAAGCAGCGGCGGCAAGGATCACAGCGTGAGGTTAACAAGTTTTCACGCGGGTGGCTACGCTAAGGAGGGGGAGGAAGGAAAAATGAAAGAGCCAAACAGCAAACGAGGAAAGGTGTGAGATTCACAGATGGCCGTCCACGAGGATGTTTGTCTAAGATCGTGCTTGTACTGTGGAAAAGTGAGAAGGGAGGGATCGATTGGAAGGAGTTGTTGTTTTTTGTTTTTTCTCTCACCTCACAGGAAGAAAAGAAAAGAGAGGAGAGGAAAGGAAAAGAAAAACAGTAACGTCTTTAAAAAGGGTCCGGAAACACGATTCGATATCCTCTCACGTTTTTTAGAAAATTCCTCGAATGAATTGGGTAACGGTCAAGCATAAAGGGGCACACAGCAACAAAGGACTACCAAGATTAGCTCAACAAAGGCCATGCACCAAGGCAAGACGCATACCATACACGTGCTAGGCGAGGAAAAGTTAGGATAATTAGCAATAAAAGAAAAAGGCGGGGGGAAAGTTAATTTCCGGAAACAATGGAAGGAGATACCGGTAAAAAGATCATCAGAAGAAGAAAATTTCCGAAGGAAATCATTTAGCCTCATGCTCACCGGCGCCCGAGTGCTTCCGTTCCGTCAGACATGTATGGGTTTTGGGGGGGTGGTTTACAGCACGAGTTCATGACAGAAAAAAAAAATAAGAGTGAGCAGATCAAACGTTTGCGTGTTCGATTTACAAGAGTCCCGTCGTTCATCAGGTCTTTCCGTGCTTAGTGCCAGAGACTCGGAATCCCGCGAGCTACAATAGTGAGTGCTATGATACCGATCCCAAATCACACGCCAAAGACCCCGCTCACAGCCAAAGCGGGATAGATCCTTTTGGTATGATGATGGAATCAATCATACGGTAGTCTACCGGTAGCTACATACTGAACCACCACCGGGCTGAAAATTAGTCTCATTATTATTACGGCTACGGTATTACAGTATAATTGCACGGTATTACTCGCGTCGTGTGTACGAGTAGTCTACACCCTTTGGAGCGAAAATCCCTTGCAGGTGGCCACGCTAGCGAATTGCACCAGATTTATCATAACTCGTCACAGGAAAAGCCGAGCGGGGGAGGTTAGAGAGGCGCGAGGAAGGCTACCGCGAATGAAGCCATCTCAAGACGGAACAGACAAAGAATCGGGGAGATGAAAGGAAAGAGATTATCCGCCCAATCAATCAATCCATCACCCGGTCAGTCATTACTAGCACATACTACATACGGATACACACGACATGTGGCCTTTCAAGTTGCAAGAATAGCATTGCAGAAGGATGCTGCAAGACTTGATGAGAAAATAGCTGAGATGTGCGGAAGGGCTCACAGCTACATACCGTACCGCACGAGGACGGTGCAATGGTAAGAACGCCATTCTGAAACCTCCTATGAGAAACTGCCTCTCCCGGGGTAAACCCTGTCCGACATTTTTCTCACCATGAGTAAAGCACTCAGCATCATCTCAAATTATCGTAGGAGAATGGGGGAAAAGGCCATCCACCACTCTCCCCAGAAAAAGCAATTGGATCACCAGTACTACAATTGGAGCGGCCAGAGTGAAAGAGGGGAATTCTGGGCCAAACTGGCCCCGGGATTGTGTCTTTTGTTCGCTCTCTTTCCATTCCCGCCAACCCGCTCATTTGAGTAGGGGGGGGGAACCAATAGGGCTGCTATTGCCGCTACCCGTAACATCCCTGAAGCCACGCGATACGCCGCGTGCTTTAGACATTCATTCCCTTTCCCTTCCCTTCGCTTTCTTTTTCTTTTTCTTTTTTTTTTTCCCTTTTCTCGCGACCCACCACACCCCCCCCCCCGCTCTTTCATTGTTGCCTCGTGGAAGGAGTGTGGGCGGACAGAGCGCGTGGGGTCGAACGTCGCAGACGCTACCGAGCCATGTACTATACTCGAGCACCGTACTCGCACAATTGTACCGATTGTCCGCGTCTTTCGGGACGCTGAGCATGAAAGAAAAAAATTAAATTTGAAATCTACTCCTCTTCTGACCCCCTCTCATTATTGTTTTTATATTCACAAGAAATTCAAGCTTGTCCGTTATGCGTTCTCTTCGGCCGCTTTTTTTTCTTTTTCGTTGAACTAGGGGGGGGGGCGGCTAATTCGCTGGTTGGAGAGAGGGATGCGCGAGTGAAGGTATGCGTGTTACTCGAGCGTCGTTAATGGTTATGCACACATAGATCACGTTTTCTCTGTGTGTGTGTGTGCCCGTGGGAGGAAACGAGAACAAAAGTGTTGTCTGGATCGATTGATTGCGAGCATGATAGGCTACATTACACGTCTATGGGACCCGCACCAACCGTACAAGTATGATAGAGGAAGGGATTTCATATTTGGCCCCCGCGTCTAGCCCCCGGACTTCAGGTAGACATCTTGTTCCCGGAGAGATGGTAGGTGAGGGGAGGTCAGCGTTCGACTGTTCAATGTTGGCCGGGCACGAGTACTCGAGCGCAGGTAAAAATCCCCCCCCATTCTTACCATCTCTCGATTTGCCCTACAGAAGCGATGTGAGGAAGGTATTGGCTTCTTAACTCTGGTGGAACAAGGAAATTCGGAAGTTGGTGGAAAGAAGGACGAAAAAAGCCCCAACCGACGGACGAAGGGCAGGCCGGGGTTGCAAATGTTTTCTGTCTAACCAGCGCATGACTGGCAAGCGATATGCTTCCCAATGATATGTCACTATGCCCAGTTCGGAGCCCCATTGCCTCGTGCCGGGCGTTTGCTTTGCTGATCAGACACTGCGGGGCGTTCCTTTAGCGAAAGAAAAAAACGATATGCCGTACGGTACGCCAGCTGAGGGAGGGGGGAAGAAAACGGCGAGCATCCGGTTGGCCCTTTCCCCGGAAACACGCAATATCAAACATACTTCTATGATACGCTATGCGGAAATTTTTGGAAGGGATATCAAAATCAGACCACCCCACACACCTCTATTCTGATATGGGCACGGATCCAGGATTGATTGCTTGATCGGAGGAGCATAGAGCTGCCCTCCAGCCGGTAAGCACAAAGCCCCCTGTGACTATGTCGGATCGTTCATTCATCATTTGCTGTCTATTTTATTCTAATCCGTCTTCGCTTTATTTCGTCGTGCAGCTCTTTTAATACCCTCGGTAGGTAGATAGGCTACCGTGCAGATATCGTGCTGGTACTGTACCGGCAACGCACAAACAGTTCTTGAATTCTGGAGCACTCGCAGTGTTGGAGTACAGTACCGTGCAGTAGATGCAAGGTGGAATCATTGCATCCCCCTCGCCGGAGGGGGAGCTCGACAATATGTACTCAAGTACTGTGCCGGTATCTGGAGCAGATCCTTGCTTACTTTCGACAGTTAAGCACATGGGTCGTGAAGCCTAGCAGCGGCAAAGCCGATAAGCCGCTGTACTCGTACAGTACTAGTACGAGTACAGTGCTGGTACAGTTCTCGAATTCCTAGCTGGCTCCCTCTGGTTGGCTGGCTGGTTTATTTCCTTTCCTTTCCCCTTTCCCCATTTCCCTTGGCTACTTTCGAGTCGTGCGATCGCCACGTTTGACTATAATCTCTGGGATGCATCAGGATACCGGAGCACCGTTACCGATACATGTACTCGAGTACATCGCACCCCGGCTAGATTTCAGGGATTTCATCCGGCGCGGCAGGGGTCCGGAACAAAACAGAGACTCCCCCCATCCATTCTCAGCTGCATTTTAGTCAATATTTATGGGTGGTATTATCTATTACCTCTACCATAGTGCTCAAGTTTGTCTTCCTCTTCATCGCTACTAGTAGTAGGCACCATATGGGCTTGAGCCTAACAAATTATAATTTTGTATGATATTGATGAGGTCCAATGTTGGGAATCGTGTCTCCTCCATCTTCGTCACCCCTTTTAATGGCCTAGTCTTTTTCCGCTCGACCACAGTCCCGGCGGCAGTGATCAGGGTATCCAGCCCAGCAGGCTAACTTCCCACAGGAACAGGAGGGAATAATTGCAAGAATATCATGCGAATCTGCCAACCCCTTTCTCGTTCAACGGGTGAAATATTTCGTATGATTCAGCGAGGTATCCGGCCCCAAGGTGGTGGGGCGCGAGTGCACTCGGATGGCGTTAGCCTTGGACCGATAATACTGGCACGAGGTCGAGCAACCTTCGACGTGCCGGCACTCGAGTACGACTCATGTAGGAGGCCTTGCATCGGAAGGGTAAACCTTCCTACATGGTTATGGTTCTTGAGCCTTTAACGCTGCTACCTTACTGCTTCAGAACCTCTATTTCTTGGGGGTATACCGGCGTTATGTCCCGCCAGCCGAACTATTGGGCAGTGGTTTTTGTGAGGGGTAGTTTTTCCCGTCCTCCCAGAGCCCCTCCAGCCGGGGACGAAGCAAAATCGGGCCCCCGATGCAAGGGAGGAGGGTGTCATGTTGATAACACTAAGATCCTAGCGTTTTCTGATATAGGTGCGGTATGATATTATGAGCAAGATCTACAGGAGAAATATGTGGGCAGTGATGGGAGGAAACAAAGTACCGGTACAGCCGTTGCCATCGTAGACAGGATTGCCCACCGTGATGAGGATACTACAGTACCCATCCTAAGGAAAGAACGATTCGAAGCTCTCTGTAACGGGGAGGCACCATCTTTCTACCCGAATTCCACACCTCTATGTTAGCGTCTGGACTCTGGCGTGAGGGCTGGCTTTCTCGAGACGTTGCTTTCCTGTTACAGGCAACAAGTTCCCGAACGCAGGGATTAAACAAATGTGTGGCCAATTGTCTGTGCGTATCAGTGCGTTCGGAATTCGGGATTCAGTCACTTTTTTCCAGTGATAAAAGCTCCAGTACTCGAGTATGGTACGGTGCTCGAGTAGACTACCGGTATCGGGTATCGGTAGCAGAGCCATTCCCCAAACGGGGCGCCTAAACTTGACCAGTTCCGGACGAGGGACGCAGTACGAGTACAAGTACGAGTACTCGAGTAGGTCCCTTGATACCGGCCCAAAAGATGGTGATAGGCTCGACCCGGAGTCCACGGAGAAGGCGCACCGCAAGGGCATAGTTTATCCGAGTCAGCCAAGCCACAAAGCCCCATTTTGTCAACTAAATCTACAAGACGATTGTGCGAAGCGGACCTCCTTTGGTCTAGGCCATGGATGCAGCCAAAAAAAAAAACTACAACCAACCCCACCCACAGAGCATAGTGGGCGGGGCTCGATGCTCTACCGTACCTCTATTCCCAACGCTTTGCTCACCGTCACCGGATAGTGTAGTCGAGGAGGTTTCGAAGGGTGATGTTGTTGGATGAACCATTCGTGACTGTGGAAAATGAAATTTTCTGAAACGGTACTGGTGCTCTGCTAGTACGGGTCCAATTTCGAAAACGTTGGCTATTGCGAAGAGGGGAGGGGTGTGTGGAGTTGGTCAGGATAACACAGCACTGCGCGAGTGCCGGTACCGGTATCCCCATTCCACCCACTCCGAGTCGTTCCGTCACGGACTGGAGGGAAATAAATTAAAATACAATGGAGGAAAAAACGTGCGCATCATACCATCCCGGCAGGGTAATTTAGAGATATTCACCCACGTGGAAATATGCGGATCCCGTTTATTGTAGTTTGCAACGGTGTCCGTGGGGCCATCCCTTCCGCGGTAAGTGCACAAGGTGCACACTGCACCGGGATCTCGCAACACCAACAGAGAAAATACGAAAGAGCTCTCTGTGATGTTGACTATCATG